TCTCACGCACACACACACACACACACACACACACACACTCTCATGCACACTCACGCACACATTCTCACGCTCTCACGCACACACATGTACACTCACACTCTCACGCACACACATGTACACTCACACTCTCACGCACACACACACTCTCACAAACACACACACACACGCACGCACACTCACACATGCACGCACACACACACACTCACGCACGCACGCACATTCACACATGCACGCACACTCACTCACACACACACACACACACACACATTCGTCATCACAGACGCTTACCTTCCAAGTAACAGCTGGAGGACGAAGAAAGACCTTTTTTGGATTTACAGCCCACCAATTTTAGACAAATCTCCAACATTTTCATTTGCTTCCCAACGCGACCAATTCAAAAAAAGAGATCCAGTTCCCAAACTCTATCGCTGTTTTCTCTTTTATCCAAACGATTGCTCAAAAAAGTGACTGAAAACATAAAAAAATCTGTCCACAAAGTTTGTGTTAGTAGCTTATGTCATGTATACCGTGAAGATGAAGTCAAAGACGGCTAAAAACACTGACATCCTGACTTCACGCGGTTCTTCTAGCAACTTTCCAGAGTAAGAGGCTCCATTTCCCCCCCGCTCCAGTTCTTCTCGTTTTCTCAGTCCGGTGAGGAACTAGCCATCCATACGGATAATTGTCACGGAAAAAACACTAAGAGGAGTTAAACGAAGCACTTTGACGACAGTGTTGTCGGCTGAGAGACGATCCACAGGAAAAGCAGGACGCTTGTGCTGATCTCTGCCAACAAAGAGGCCCTTTCAGAGCCGACGACATCATGGCCCTGGCTCCGCCCCTCCAGGAACCTGCAGCATTATCTGCAGAGAGAGTGTAACTGGAACCTGCCTTTGTCTTTCAGTCCCACACACTCTCGCTGTCTGCTTCGCTCTCGTCCCAAATGTTTTCACTTTGAAACAAAGGCACAAGTGCACTTCATAGGGTCAGGATTACTCCTGCCAAACAGCCAGCATGAATAAAAGAAATTACAAAGACAATTCAGCCCATAATTCATTCATGCCGCAATGCATGATGGGAGCCATGGATGAGTTTTTGATGGTCACCGTTGTTGTGATTCTCACGCTAATTCTTGATGTCTGTGTGTCTAAATTAAAGATTTTTTTTTTAAGTTTTTGATCAAAATAAGTTTTAAAAACATCTGACTATAGATATCATATTGCTCAGAGGGTTGATGTAATCAAACCTAACATAAAGAAAACCTAACTCAGTTATTCAGGTCATGTCAAAACATAATCAAAGCCACATGATCGCCTTTCCTCTGGTTTGTCTGGCTGTTATAACTCAGCCAAACAAAGTCTAATATTAAAAAATGAAGGCTCAAGATCCCAACTAATGCAAACACTGACCAAAATTTAGATTTTCTACTTTGGTGATTCTGCTCGTAAACATCAGGTGTCTTAAAAATGGTCGATCATCACTTAATCACCTAATTATCTCATTGACTTTAACTCTGCTTCAGTGTTAATTTGACACTCTTCAGTGCTACTTTTTAACACTCGAGTGTGAACTCAAATAAACTCCTGGGAGAGTTAATTTAACACTGGGCTTTTTGCTGTGATTAAGCACAAATATCGTCACCTGCACTGTGGCTGCTTCTAAAGAACGTTACAACCACTGATTAATTCAATAACTGAATAATCTGATGATGAATTGGGGAAAAAATATAGAAAATTACATTTGGCTTGAAAAAAAAAAAATTCCACAATTGGCAAAGTGTTGACCTCCAAACAATGTCCAAATTGAAGACTATATGAACCGAAATATAATGAAAGTATCCATGTTGTCTACACTACACATTACAGCTGAAACGATTAGTCAACATCATTGACAACGTCGACAATAAAAAAAAAAAAACATTTAAAAATTTTCTTTTCAATCCCGTTAAGCATTAAGCCCAGAATATGAAAGCAATGCGTAAAGTTTCATGTTGAGCATTTTCCTCCCATAGAAAATAGTTATAAAGAAAAAAAAACTTAATGTGGCTTAATGCATTAAGAAGGTAATATTAAAAGGCCAATCTCAGTGTACTGATGATGCAAACTATATGCAGGCAAGCAGCCCAGGATATGAACGCAAAGTGCATGCATGTTAAGTGTTTTCCTCTGATAGAAAACCATTATAAAAAACGCTTAACGTGGCTTAATGGTTGAAGACAGTGATACTGTATAAAAAGGCCAAATTCTGTAAATTTAATGGGTCTGGCTTCCAGTCTCATCGGCTTCCAGCAATTTTTAGCTGTACAAAACAGCTCGTTTTGCTGCTTGATATTGCAAACAGGTGATTCTTACCATATTATTTTAACGTATTGTCTTAATTATAAAGCCCTAGTGTCAGTACATCATAAATAGAACAAAGCATCGGTTTATTGATTTTTCACTCAGATCACGCTGCATCCAGTGTAGACAGACAGAATCACTGTTTATAATAAGATTTATGTTCTTTAGTTGCATCGCATTTTGCCATTTGCGACCGCTGTAGTTAAGATGTATGTAAAAAACTCACGTTATAATCAAAACCATCCATCTATACTATACTATGAATCTCTTATTTATCTTGTGTTTATACTAGGGATGGATCGAATCGGATCTGGTATCGGTCAGACAAGACCAATCTATTTTACCAGATAAACTATTGCACAGATATAATACACTACGCATCAATATTTCTTTCCTTTGTGCTTTGAACATTTCTATGCACTCTGGATTGGAGCCATACCCTTTCGTATTATAATACTGTTGTGCAATGAAAGATTATTGATAGTCTTTCTTGTTCTGTCCTATCTATCATATGCTGCTGCCTTCATTACTGTGCTATACATTTAAAAGAAATGTCTTTCAATTTTATAGTATATATTTTATATATAACTATAGTTAGGCTACTTGTTTTTCATGAATGTATTTTATAACCATACAAAGAGCAATGTGTAACATTTTACCAGGTTTAGTCCTACACTTATTAACTTTTATTTGTTCCCCACTAAATAATGTTGTTTCACTAAATGTTTAGATTTTATAAAATTATTGTGCAGCCATTTTTCTAGAGTATTTTTTGCTGCTGAATTATTCACTAACCTAGTTAATAATAGTATTTTTGTCATAGATTATGATTATATATTTTTTCTAGTGCTGTCAAACGATTAATCACGATTAATCGTGATTAATCACATCCAAAATAAAAGTTTTTGTTTACATAATATATGTGTGTACTCTGTATATTTATTATGTGTATATAAATACACACACACACAGTATATATTTTGAAAATATTTACATGTATTTATATGTATACATATATATTTTTATATACATATAATTTATATTATGTATAAATGTATTTAATGTATAAACATAACATATTTTTCTTAAATATATACATGCATGTGTTTGTATTTATATATACATAATAAAATATAAAAATTCTACATTGATTTACAAAAAACTGCGCTGGCATCGGATCAGATCGGTATCGGCAGATACTCAGAATTTTCGGTATCAGATCGGTTCTGAAAAAATGGTATCATTGCATCCCTAGTTTATACTTTATTAGAACAAAACAATTCTGGCGTATTAAGTGGATTCTGCCTTAAAAGCTTCTGATTGGCCACTGCATTCACAACAGTCTGTCTGTGATTGCCTACAATGCTCAACGCAGCAAAACCTGTTTTCTAAGCTCTTCACAGAGTCTCACATAAATACAGGAGCGTTTGAAAGCCGATACCGGATCGACCTGGTAACGCATAAATGCTGGTGTCTCCACGTTTTTAAAATGTAAGCATCGACCGAAGTACTGGTACTTCTGACGACACTAGAAACGGAAACCCGGACACTTAAGGTCCTTGCACACTGAGTCTGAAATTTTCGTATTCGTCATCCTTTCCTATCAAAATGCTTGCTAAGGATGCGAAAACTCAGAAAATCGAACCTGATCCGAATTTTTTTATGACGGACGAAAGTTTCAGAGGCAGTGTGTAAATGGGATTGACACAACATGAGGTCGTATTTATTTTTTAACGTGCGAAAATTTCAGACTCAGTGTGCAATGACCTTTACACTTGGAATGAGCGAACAAAAAATCCAGCAGTCCATATTTTAGATGGCATAGCTAGCAAATACGTCAGCATGGGGTTCCTGATGTAATGGGGAATGTCTCTAGCCGTGTCGCTCCGCTAAAGCGTTCCAGAAAGCTCCTCTTGAATAAGTCCGGAGCTACATGTGGGAAAGCGGCTAATGAGGATGAGCTCAGATCACAGGTCTCTGAGTCTGTCCAATGGCGTCTCCACAGACGGGAACCCGGGCCGCTCTGGAGTCCAGAAACGAGGCAGCCAACTCAGATGAAAGAGTCTCTGAACTTTCCAGTCAGAAGAATGAGCCAGCGGCTGATAATGGTTAAGCTGCAGTCCAGCCAGGAAGAGGAAAACCCAGCGATCCATACCACACGAGTCTGATGCTCTGCTCCATTAACATGATCGCTCGACTGATTTCAGACACAAAGGAGAAGCTCCTGTATCCGAGAATCAAACCATTCAATTAGAGATGCACCTATCGACCGGCCAGAGTCCGGAATTAGCCGATTTTCCACATGACAGTTTTGACGTCACACTTATGGCGACTGATAATGTATTTATATCATGCATAGTGAGTGAGTGTGTGAGAGAGACTCGTGCAGAAATCAAAACTAATGAGCGCAACAGCACACACAGAAAGTTATAGATGAATACTGTGGTAGAAAAAAAAAACATTTATAATATGTGACCCTGGACCACAAAACCAGTCATAAGGGTAAATTTTTTGAAATTGAGAATTATAAATCATCTGAAAGCTGAATAAATAAGCTTTCCATTGATGTATGGTTTGTTAGGATAGGACAATATTTGAAAATCTGGAAATGCATATTACTAATCAAAAATTAAGTTTTGATATATTTACGGTAGGAAATTTACAAAGTATCTCCATAGAACATGATCTTTATTTAAAGGGTTAGTTCACCCAAAAATGTAAATTAGCCCATAAATTACTCACCCTCAAGTGATCCTAGGTGTATATGACTTTCTTCTTTCAGACAAATCCAGTCGGAGTTATATTAAAAATTGTCTTTGATCTTTCAAGCTGTTTAATGGCACTCAGCGGGTGTTGCATGCATCAGTCCAAAAGCAGTTAAATAATAAGCGCCCATTCATAAAAAAAAAAAAGTGTCTCACACGGCTCCGGGGGGTGAACAAAGGCCTTCTGTAGCGAATCGATGCGTTTTTGTAAGAAAAATATCCATATTCAAACCGTAATAATCACTTTAATGTAGCTTGCGCTCACTGTTGTACACAGAAGCAGCTCCGGGAGGATGACGTATGAGGTCGGCGCTGCGCATTTCTGTGGCAACCCTGCATCCAACAAGAGCTACAGGAGTCAGCTTTGACTGATCACAGGTCGAGAATAAGGAGAGATGACTGACAAGACCATGCTGGAGTATTTGCTGCTCAACAGATTCTGAGCTCATTGACAAATATCTGATCTTGTAAGATGTGCTTGCTCCCTTTACACAGAGTGCGTGTGATTGCGAAATCGAAAGTGAAAGTAAACAGCACAAACGCTCATTCAAAAATATTTAAATACACCGCATCCTGAGAGCGGCTCCCTGATGCGCCAAAATTATACACAATATTAGAATGTTTAAAGGAGTGGACACGAAAAAACTAAAGCCACTTCAGATGCAGCTTCTGTGTTTCCTCTGCAGTGGAAAGATGGAGTTTAATACTGATTTCATTTGAATGGTAAGAACTCTACAGTTTCTTATTATTCTAAATGAATTAATTAAAACAATGTAAGAATTTGATGTGAAAGATGACACATTTAATAAGGTTAGTGAAAAAATGACAATTTAAGAAAAATAGTGGTAAATGATATATGTTTGTTATATACAGCAACTCCTTTTCAGTTCATTTCTACCTCTTTTCTAGTCACAGAGCACTTTATTTTGAGAGTTGTTTAAGTGAGAGAACATCTATAACTTTGTCCAGATTGGGCGAATTGTAATGTTTAATAATTTTGTATTATGTAAATGATTATTTGCATTAAAAAAGTATAGATTTTTGTTTGTATATGCGGTCAAATATAGTTTTTAGAAAGAAAATCGGAATCGGCATAAATCAGTATCAGCAGGTCACACTTACAAAAAAATTGGAATCGGCAAAGAAAATTGCAATCGGTGCATCTCTACATTCAATGCCAAAAACACCTACAGACATACATCACTCCTTATACAGAAACACGCTTCACTGATTAGCCTTTTTCACAAAAATCGGAAATTACGTCAGTGCAGGGTAAAGTTAGTTCCGTTACATGTCTGCGCCTATTATA